TGTTCCACCTCTGAAAGAGAAACATTCACTTGCGACAAGTAAAACTTGTTCACTTCTTAGTTTTCTTGAAGAGCTCATTCTTACATAAATTTGTCATCTCATCCATACTTCCAAAGAAGTATTTTCTACTGCCATCAGTTAATTGATCATCTGATAATTTTCTTAGTAACTTGCATATTAAGTGGCTAATGTTGTGACAGCACAGAGCAAATGTGTATTTACCTCCCATTAGAGGTCAACAGTATCCCAGCAATTAGTGCTAGTGCTTCTAGAATTCCCACCCAAAGATTTGGCTGTCTGGCCTGTGAACCTAAAAGTAAATATCAGGCAGCTAATCAGATGCCTCAAGCTGTTCACTAAATTTTAAGTGATATTACAGGAGATCTGCAGCACGTGGAACAGATGTGTGTACAAATATTGTGGCCAATTTCCATGCACTTGTTACTCAAAAAACAGACTGAGATAAATGCACAGGCCTCTTTGAGAAGAGGGAAAGCATAGCTGGGAGCATGAAACTGTTATTTTCCATAGCTTTTATTCAGACTTAAGCTCCTGGCATGATGCTGACGGAAAGCACAGTCAGATCCCAAGCTCAAGGTGTGGGAGCCCTGTCTCTGAAGCCCATTCCATCCAGATAGCACACAAAGAAATGCAGCCTCTCTTGGTGGATATACCGCTGTCACAGAAGACCAGCTAGCATATCCTCAGCAGGAAATCATGCTCTGATGAAGACACTGCTAATCCAGCAGGCTTCCCTAGCAAGAAGGAAATCTCTTGGCTACCAAAACTCATCTAAAGTTAAGATCACTTCTATCTGACCTACAGCACTTGCATTCTCTAGGTGCATCCTGACATACAGCGTAACTAGGACAGCAGATTCAGAATATATCATACAGCCAGATCAATTTCTATACTTCACAGTTTGATCAGTCGTCTGGAAGAGCAGAAGAGTGGATTTGGGTGAAGAAAACAGACACCTGTACTTGTATTTGCTCTATTACTTCCATCCTTATTTTAAGGAAGTTCTTTCCTCATATTCATTTTCATGACTCTCAGAGTGTTTTTATCTCTTTTAAATAATCCTTTCAGCTTTTTCCTGAAGGGAAAACTTATTACTTGGAAATATCTTATGTCATATTATAGAAAATCACTTTTTCTTTAATTCATTTCAGTGTATTAAAGTGCTAACCCAAAATTTATTCAAATATAGAAGTGACTGGATAGGAATGTTTCTGTGTGTTTATGGAAGAATAGGTAAATATCCTTCATCCAAAAGGCTCAATCATGAAAAAAATTCTCACTGCTTAACCACTCTAAGTAGAATCCTCATCTCTTCCTTTCCCACCTTTTGGTGTCACTTGTTCAACCATCAGTTATCTATTTGGTCCCTTGAGACAACAGCTGGGTCTTTGAGACCTTACATACCTTGCTGTGGTATCAGGATCTGTATTGGGATGACAATAATTGGACATACAAAACACAAACTGAAATACAGGAAACTGGGATTAAAGTTAAAGAAATATTTTTTATCTCACTACCTGAATGCGCATTGGTTTCGCATTTTGTTAGGAAATATATGCAATTAATTGTGATAACAAGTTCTTCTATCTGTGTAAATTCTTTTCTTTCCATTCAGCAGTCAAGCTAAAAAAAGATAGGCAAAATGCCCCCCCTGAGTTGGAGCAAGCCAAGTGATACTTCCTTAAATCCTATAAAAGCAGTAAGGACACTTTTCACAAGCCAACTAAAGAAACAGACCTTCATTCTGCTGGTCAGTATAAGAACCAAAAGAGAAGAAAGGTGTTCATCTGGAGATTGCAGTGTAGCCTGTACTGGTTCACACTTCACTGTCCTGTTTTCCTTTAATCTTGTATTGAACAAGGTCTTTGAATTTTCTGATTGTGATGTTGATTTTAGAGAAAAATACTCAGAAAAAAAAATATCATGAATGAGGAAGGTAAGAGTACTGATATAATTTCAGACAATGATTAATGATTTACACAAGGTAAAACAATGCCAGCAGTACATGCAGCACAGAGTACATGGGTTCAGATTCAAATGGCACCCGACAGAAAATCATTTTGTTTCCAATTTCTGAGTACAGGAGGAAGATATAAGTGTGAGATAAACTGTTTGTTCTGATCAGTTGAGAGATGGATGAGTATGCATTTTAGCCTTCCTAAACCAAAACTCTTCATCTAATAAAATTAACTTCAATAGAACTTAATAGACAGCCTAGACCTAATTTCATGGACATAGATTCACATGACACCCATGCTACTTCAGTACACAATACAATTATAAAACTCTTTAAAAAGTTATGCATTTAAAAAAATAATAATTTCATTCTTTTTCTGGTCAAATTATCCATTATGATTTCTGCTGTGATCTCTTCATCACTGAACAAGTATATTTGTTTGCTTGACTTCCATTTCCATCTTAGAAAGCAGAGAAAAGAATAACTATTCACAGTCCTTCTGAGCATTGTGTTTCTGACTATTAGAACAAAACCAGATGCTAAATAATTAAAAATTCAAATTTCTTCTTATCCAAGACTTCTGGCAAAAAAAATTAAAACCTTCTTCTTTTTCTCCTTTCTCATATCCTGCACAAAGTGTGCACTTGGGTTTAAAGAATTATGCAGAAATTCTTGGATAATTTCTCTCTCAAAGAGTAAATTAAAGAAACTGTAACATCATACCCTTAATCTATGGATCTGTGTTTAAGTGTTTCAGAGTCCAGGAGATGTTTTAACACCTGTAAGTATTTAATAAGTTGGTTTCCTACAGAAAGCATTACTTTATTGCATCAAGGAATATATTTATGATAATCAGCACAGACAAAACCTTGAACTACAAGGATGATCAGGATGAAATAAGAAAAAAAACCCCTGCATTATCTATGCAGAAAAAAAAATCAGGTTCTAAATTCCTATATTACACGTTTATGTGAGTATCTGAACATGACACTATTCAAATACATTCACCTATTCTGAGTTCACTTCAGATGTTCTCTTGCATACTAATAGAAATATTATTAAAGGAAAAAACAAACAAGGTGATCAAGAATTGCCTACAAACATTAGGTGCAGCAACATGAAGTACATTCAAAATCTTTAAAATTCAAATTGTACAATTTTCCAGTGCTTACATGATGGGGTGGGAAATCTACCACTCCTTTGCCCAATGCTAATACTCTGAAGAAAATTAGTATTACTGAATTAAGATAGCAACAAGCAGCTGAAAAGTACCTAATTCTCTTTACAGTTCATATAACATCCTGGACATAGTCCTTCTTTTTCATAACCTTTAGAATCACATCTTGCTGTATAGAAAAATATATTCTGGAAGAATAACAAAAAAAAAAAAATTAAAGGATGGGTTTTTCCTGTAGTCACATATTTACCATACTGCTCATTGTCTTTCCAACTGTGTTGCAGTCATACCCACAATTTTTCTAGCTAGTATCCTGAATTGATTAACTGTGTTATACCAATGCGGAAAAAGACCCTGGGAATGAAAAAAAAAAATGAGGTAAAGCAAATATAATCAGAGCGTTTATTTTTGTAGAGTGACCGTGTCAGTGGATTGAATTTTTTTCTTCTATTTTTTTTTCCTTTTTCTAAATGTGTCTTTAAAGGTAAGCAAAAAGACTGGAAATTTTAGCAAGCAATTTGAACCCTCTTCAATGCTCAGAACTCTGGTGAATGCAGTGAATTAATTTCCAATTACCTTAGTGTGAGATGAATTTGATAGAACTTTGCCTTCAAATACCTAATGGGTGCTAATAAGGAAAACTGTTGCAAAAAATGTTACTAAATGTTGCAAATACAAAACTGTTGCAAAATTTGCAAAATGTTGCAAATGATTGTATTTTTAGTAAGTTTGGGCACATCCTTCTACACAAAACAGAGGAGGATCCATGAAGTAATATATATTTTTAAGCCCTTCTAGGGCTACAATAGCTTTTTCAGAATTCCACTTAACCAGATATCTGGCAACATTTCAATCCATTTCTCTTATTTAAATTTTAATTGTATGGAATTTCACAAAAAGTAAAGTGCAAGTAAAAACACCCCCAAACATAGTTGTTATAGGAAACCCAGAGAAATCTTTGGATTTTGTCTTCAGGTGACTTACTAAGTGTCTTCAGATGACTTACTTCAAGACTAGTACTGGAAATTTCCCTACCAATACATGGGTTTTTCAATTTTATCATTTTTTCTTCATATCTGCCCTGTTTCTCTCAGACGCCTGTGTGAATTGCTGCCATGGGCTGGCTGCTGTGGTTGCCTGGCAGCTGTGACAGGGCGGTGCCTTGAGGAATGTCTGACCGCACCCCGCCTCCGCTTGCTCCGGCACAGCTTCAGCTGCGTCATCTTGGGGGTGTGGAAAGGAACGCTCTCGCCCGGACTCGCGCAGCCCCGATCTTGTTTGGGGTGCGCTCCGGCTGGCTCTCCGCTTGGGCTGGTTCCCCTTGGCCCTGTGCTAACACCCGCGGCCAGCGGGAGCATGTCCCACAGTGCTTGTGTCCTTGTGAGCTTGCAAAATGTGAAAAAGCCTTCCCAGTTCCACTTTCGGGGTTTCGTGAGACTGGTGCGTGTCTGCAGTGCTCTGCCGCCGCTACCACTGGCACTGCGCTTGTCGCTGCCGCGTATTCGGTCCTCACGTCTGGCCCTGGCCGGCACTTTCCTCACGACCTGCGCGCTTTCCCTGCGGACAGCTGCCGTGCGAGCTTTTGCCACCGTGCGCATCACTGGACCCGCGGTGCGGGTGTCCGCTGCTGCCGCCGGCACCGAGCATCCCACCGCTGCCACTACGCGCATCCTTGCCGCCGCCGCGTTTACCCCGGCCTCTCTTGCGGCCTTTATCGCCGTTATGGTTCCGAACTCGCACCACTTTGTTAATTCATGTACTATGAGAGGATTCTGAAAAAGTCCTTGCGCATACTCGTAAGCTAACAACCCTGGTAAATCCTTTTTCAAGTCTATCTCTTGAAATTCAAGGGTTGGAAACTCTGCGCTATCCACATCTGGGTGTCTTCTTTGCTTGTTGAATGGTCAACGTTTTTCTTGCTCTTGACAGAGTTTCACATTCTTCATTGAAATATATCTGGACTTTGCATCTGTTAAAACACAAACAAATCCCACGTCCCCACAGGGACTGAAGGATTTTCTCAAAATTCTGGAGGTGAAGAATGGGTTTTGGTTCCATTTTGCAAAGTTACATAGGAAAATGTAAGATAATAGCAATTATGAATTGCAATTAATTCAGATAATACACACAATCAACAACACATACAAGATCAAAAATTACTAAATACTACAACACTGAACTCTCATCCCAGAGTCTGCGACAGCTGATAAACCTTAAAACAACAGAAAATTGGAGAAATCATGTCCGGATTCATGCTTCTCCAAACTTTCTCTGAAAATGGCTCAGCTGTCATAAATGGTCAAATTGCCAAGTCAAAAGACTTGAATACTTTTTGATGCAGAAAACATCTGGGTTGATTGTCAATCACTCCATCCAAATAGAGTTAGAACGTGGCCAGAGCTCAAACTCTAATTGGTGGTATCTCTTAACACATTTTTAAATGAAACTCTTAAAACTAACAGTTATAAACAAGAAACCTTAGGAATACAAACTAATCAAACTAGCAAATAATTGAATCTTTCCAAAGTTTCTGTCAAGATAGAGATTCTCCAAACACAGCAAACTTCTTAAATTCTCTGCTGAAATGTTTCTGAAATAATAATTGAAAGGAACTACAGAACTGGCAATTTGGATAAAAACTTCAGAAACATGTAAGTAGTTAGGAAATAAAAAGCCAGGATCCTGAAGAAACACGTGACTTGCAGGTACTCACACAAAAAGATAAAAAAACACATGAAAGCCGGCTGCAAACACAACAACAACACACCAATAACAATTCTCATCACAAAAATCTGAAAACTCACCAATAAGAAGTGCTCAATGGGATTAAAACAACTTTCCCAAAACATTCATTCAACATTAATAACAATCACTATCTATCAGCATTACTCACTAAACTGAAAATAAAAAAGGTTATAAACTTAATATGAATAATTCTTAAAACTTTAAATTATTGGGGAATCGACTGATGACTTCACAACAGGATCTGATTGACCTTTCCCAAATGCTCTGTCTTCCAAGACACTTTGCAGAATTAAATCTTCACTAATACTTTCATTTTTACATAACATTTTGTCTCCTTAAGAATATTGTTTCAGAATAGAAGGGGTGAACTTGGTTGGTGCTTTCTCACTTTTTTGATGAAGATTCTGTGGAACTGGTTTGTGGAACAGTTGGATAAAGTGTCCTGTATAACATTGGCTGCTTTTTCTGTGGAGTTGCCTTTTTTTTCCTAAAAAGCTGGATAAAGCACTGTGAAAATTTTCAGAACCTTTCCATTCTGATCTTGAAGAACTTTCCTGCCCTGTTTCTCTCAGACGCCTGTGTGAATTGCTGCCATGGGCTGGCTGCTGTGGCTGCCTGGCAACTGTGACAGGGCAGTGCCTTGAGGAATGTCTGACCGCGCCCCGCCTCCGCCTGCTCCGGCACAGCCTCAGCCGCGTCATCCCGGGGGTGTGGAAAGGAACGCCCTCGCCCGGACCCGCGCAGCCCCGATCTCGTTTGGGGTGCGCTCCGGCTGGCTCTCCGCTCGGGCTGGTTCCCCCTGGCCCTGTGCCAACACCCGCGGCCAGCGGGAGCATGTCCCACAGTGCTTGTGTCCTTGTGAGCTTGCAAAATGTGAAAAAGCCTTCCCAGTTCCACTTTCGGGGTTTCGTGTGACCGGTGCGCGTCCGCAGCGCTCTGCCGCCGCTACCACTGGCACTGCGCTTGTCGCTGCCGCGTATTCGGTCCCCACGTCTGGCCCTGGCCGGCACTTTCCTCACGACCTGCGCGCTTTCCCCGCGGACAGCTGCCGTGCGAGCTTTTGCCACCGTGCGCGTCACTGGACCCGCGGTGCGCGTGTCTGCCGCCGGCACTGAGCATCCCACCGCTGCCACCACGCGCATCCTTGCCGCTGCCGTGTCTACCCCGGCCTCTCCCGCGGCCCCTATCGCCGTTATGGTTCCGAACTTGCACCACCCCGTTAATTCATGTACTGTGAGAGGATTCTGAAAAAGTCCTTGGGCATACCCGTAAGCTAACAACCCTGGTAAATCCTTTTTCAAGTCTATCCCCTTAATCTGCCTCTTACGCAGAAAACTAGTAAAAAGATAATATGCTGCTTGCCTATCCATACCTAATCAGCGCTGTTGCAAGGCTTCAGGCTTCGGCAGCACGTAGGCTGAGACTGTCTATACAGCTCCCAGGGCAGCGAACTTGCAGTCGGTCCGCTCGCCGTCCCCCCCCTTGCTTCAGAGGGACCCGCTCCTACTTCTCCGATCCGTGGCAGCCGTGTTCGTCCGTAGTCGGATCACGTCGGGGTCACCATTTGATGGAGAAGGAAGACTTGCACACCAGATGATGAACAACAAGTCTCAAAAGTTTATTGAATAGGCACACACATTTATAGCAGTGTTAATAAGGCTAATGCATATTGCAAAAATTGAGCTCATCATTGGTTAGTCATTTATCAGTCAACTACGTCTACGTTTACATTCTTGTGTTCACCTTGTTATGGTTTCTACTATCGTTCCTTCATTCTTGCTAGCTAACGAGCTTCTCCCACAACCTCAAGTTTCGGCAAGGGCACAGTGACCTTGCCGCTTTTATCCTCGTCTCCTTCTTGCTTCCAGCATGATCTCTGTTAGCTAGCTAACTATCTACAAAATCCTCTACATTCCTCCTGTTTGTATCTCAGGCAGATTAATCTGGCCGTGGCCCTTATCCAGGAGCCAGCTTGTTACAAAGCTCTCAACATTTGACCAGCATAATTGTGATGGCTTTTGGTACAATAGGTTTAGGCAATTATTCTCACATTACTGTAAGGGCTGTCTGAAATTCTGAAATTGAACATAATTTTTGTTCTTTCCTGAATCTCTTCTTTAAGAATGTTCTGAAAGGGGGAAATGGGCACACACTAAAATATTCAAGTCCTCTAATTTGAAGAGATTTCCATCTTGTATTGGATTGAAAAGCATGCCAATAATAAGAGGAGTGACATTGTAGCTGTAAAGACCACAACTTCAAAGTAAATCATGTGGATCACTCCCTGTTGGAAACAATGTCTTTCTGTAATTCCTTTTATATAATTTAGAATGTATGTGAAGGAATACAAAACATACGTGAAGAAGAAAGCATCTTTCTCAAGTTCAGCTTATTTTGCGTGGAGTGTTTTGTACTCAGTTTCAACACAACGATAATTGAATTTAACTAAATTGAAATGGCCTTCTCCTAAGTAGAGTCACCTAATCTGAGGAGTCCTTTTCATCTCATATGCAGGGTCTGAATGCAACACTTGTGGAGTTTTCTTTTATTAAAAGCTTAATGCACGTTCACTAATGTAGGTTTAAATGTGGCCTAATTATTAATCAAATATATTTCAGTAGCAGGAGGGCCAACATTCAAATAATGATTAATTGAAAACTTAATTAAATACTTCAAGACATCACATGAAAGTGTTCTGATAAAGTTTCAGGTCATGCAGTTTGCATCTGAATCTGAGTAATGAAAACAAAGGATTTGATCCAGAAGCCTTTGTAGTCAGTGACTGAAATTATCCCAAAGCTGCTGAAGAAAATCTGTCTGAATATTTTCAATTAAGTTTTCTGAGAGAGCTTTGCATAATGTGGAATATAAAACAAAGGGTTTACTTCACCTGACCATTCCAAATTGCTGAACTTCTATGTTTCCTGTGCTGTAGAACAGCACTTTACAAAACTTTATCCAAGAATCCCAGGGAAAAAAAAAAAAAAAACAAAAAAAAAAAAAACCAAAAAATAATCACACTCTAATTGGAGCAGAGGTTAAAATATGTAAAGATTTTGTTTTAAGTAAATTAAATTTTATGGCTTACATACTTTACTCTGCATGGTTAGTCACAGCATAATGATGGGCAGCAACTCACGCACCTTCTAAAAACTTCCAGATTGTAAAACCAGTCTGATCCATTCACCACAGAAAACATTTGTTAAATTATTTTCAATTTATGCCACATTTTTCCCAACCCACAGGTGGTTCATATCATATATGATATAACTTCAATTTAGCACTATTCCTAGCCATTCTGATTGAAGGATCTTGGTGATGGTTTGTTTTAAAATCAGTTATGGAGTGTTGAATTAATATTGAGAGTCCTGTATGCAATTATGCTGATGTGTGACCTTCCTACATGAAATCTTCAGGACAAAGATTCATTTAATTAATAGAAAATAAATCCAGAGGCAGAGAAGACAAAAAGGGAAGAAATGGTAAGAACACTTTACCAAAAAGCTTGTCCACATGTAAAAATAAAATAAATAAATAAAATAAATAAATTAGACTGCAGATATATTTTTCATGGAGATAAGCTGGGATGGGAGATGGAGTTGGAAATGTGTGTGTGTACTTGCACCCCCCCCTTGCAGCTGGATGGAGAGGAGAACTGGAGGCACAAAAGATAAAGGATCATGGGATGTGATAAGGTCAGTTTACTGGAAACAACAATGAAATAAGGCAAGGAACAGTAACAGAAACAATACTGACAGAGTGTAGAAGAAAAAGGTGAATTATTTCAATGTGATTGCTCCCCCATCCATAGAAAACCCCTGACAATGCCTGATCACTCCCTCTGCCTTGAAACGTCCTGGAAGGGAGGCTTTCCCTGCACCCCCTCACCCAGCAATGATGTGAGGTGGTAGAGAATAACCTCTGGGCCAAGTCAGGCACCCTGCCAGATACTGCAAGAATTAACCCTGTCCTGGCTGGAACCAGGACAATAGCCCAGCTCACTTCTCTTTTCTAAAGTAATGCTGTGGCAAATTTATTATGTCATATTTTTTGGCATGAATTGATCAGCTCTGGCAGTACAAAACCATCCACAACAGAGGTCTTGAAGAATGCACTTTACCAGACTGCTAGAGCTGTGTGTATTCTGTGCCACAGTGGGCTTCAAATGTCTTGTTAATGTTAATTTAAAGGTGGGATATATCTCCTTGCTGGCTGCTATTAAGGCCAATTTTGTAAACATCTATGGATTTTACTTTTCCAGCTCCAAAAAGCAGTTCATTAAATTATTTGATTGATTTCCCACTTCTGCCTGGTTCTTGCTTCTGTATGCCTTGATGTCTTTCTCTGAAGTATAGAAAGGAAATTATATGATTAAATAAGGAAAAGAGGAATACTGTAGCTTGATTTCCATTGCCAACAGCAGCATATTATATGGCTATATACATCTGATCCTCATTTGTGAAAATAGAGAAATACATACCTACAACAGAGAAAAGCTCCTCAACTATATAACCTGTCATTCAAGAGAGATAACTCACATTCTTCCTATCAGAAAAAGTGAAAATGAAAGAGTGTTTCATAAATAGATTTTTGATGCAAAGCTTATAAGGAGATGATATCACAGTATCTTTCAGTCATGTACAAGGGTACCTTAACAGCTGAGACAATGCAGCCTACCTTGCTTCTCATATCTTTAGCTTACTGAAGCTCTAATTTAACCTTCTCTGTTTCATTGAAAACAAAACCAAGCAGTGCACCAATCTAAGAAAGAAACAAAACAAAACAAAAAAACAAACTAACACACCTGGAGACTGTGTATGATTATCAGCTTTTTCTGTTCAGTGAAACAATTCTGTTTTTTGCACTCCTCATTACTGTTTTTTCAGGAGTCTTCACCAACATACAGATTTCTTTCTATTACAGACCTCATAATGGCACATTTATCTCTCTGAAATTAATGTCTGCATAGTTTGCCCTAATCATAATTTGTATCCTTACAAGCACAGACTATCTACTGTTCAACTATAAAGCTGATAAAAAAGGAAGTCTCATGTCACATTGGACTCTGCCTGGAGAGTGTCCCATTCCAACAATCCCACTGCTCTTTAAAAACACAATTTTAGAGAACCAGAGTGACAACATTTTGATAAGCATCCAGCTCCTGCCCTGTGGAGCTTTCTTCAGCCATTTCCTCTCTGAAGCATCATGTTACTCAGATCTCTGCAGTAGAGATCTTAATAGGCTGTGCCTATGTATTTTTCTCTTATTAGCTAGAATAAATGAAGAATTTATAACACATAAATGATTGTTATGATGGATTAGGAAATTATGATTTGTTATCAGGTTTCATCCAGATTTTGTACTGTCTCCTTTTGCATCCTCTACAACAAATTAATGAAAAGTGTGGAAAACTGCTGTGTAAAATTATCCATTTGTGTCTGTTCCCAAGCATAAATTCCCACTGCCCAAACAGTCTCCTGTGTGGAGCAGGCCATGCTCTTGCTGTTTGCTTCCTACTAAACCAGAGCAGAGAGTACATATGACCCTTAGACCCTCCCATCTGTAGCTCAGTAAATTGTCCTGAGCACTCTGCTCTGTAGTTTTGGCTCTGGCTGACAGCAGTAGGAGCACTCACACTGGACTGGCAACCACACAGGCAGCCCTGCAACCACCACCTCCTTTAGCCTAATCAGCCTGACAGATGTTCAGTGTCTATGTACCTACCTGAGGTTGCTGGTAGGTGAAGCATGGTAGGACTCTCTAACTCTGAGTAACTCTGATCACTGATATTCCTGGCTCCCCAAAGAGCTTCAAGAAACATTTGTTTCACATGCACCTGTCAGGTACATCATCTCACACAAATTTTGCTCTGAAAGTTTTCCCATGTTCTCTGGTCTGTCATGGTGTCTGTTGATGCATGTAAGTGCACAAAACAGAAACATGGATTTTTTTTAAAGTAATATTCCCTTATCTCAGTGACAAATTTGTACATGATATTCAATGCAGGGTAGAGGTAGCCATCTTCAGTTGTTTTCTTTTTATTTTTTTTATTTTCCTTCTTTTCATAGTAAACTACTTTTTGGCCTATAAAGTTTTAATTTTAAGTCCTGGGGTGATATGCAAAAGGCAGGAAACACTGCAGAGGTAACAAGAATGGCAAACATGAAGGAAGTCTATATGTTTCTACTCTTGCTTTACTTATGCCTTTTATTAACCCTCTCACTAACATCCACCTGATCTTGTACCTATTGTGGCTACATATCATTCTTGCACTCAATCTCTTTTGGAAAATCCTTTGTCTTAATCTGTAAATGTCTTTTGAAGTACCTGATTCTGTATCTTAATCACTAAAATCCAGTCACTTAAATTCTTTCCATCTTCTCCAAACTAAGTCAATCCAAACTGATTTCAGAAAAAGTCAAAAAGGAGTTGCACAAATGTTCCAACTTTTCCATTTAAAGTTTTCTAACCACTTTACATTTGCCTTGTTTAGTTTGTCATTAGGTATCCGGACACTGTCATAAACTTCATTTTCTTCAAGTTCTTTTTTTATCTCACTCACTGCTGTAATTCTAAGGAACATGGCCTTAGGCTAAACACCTTGCTGCTATGAATAGTTGCCTTCCAAACAAATAATTTTCAAACTTCTTGCTTTCCCTTCCTAAGCACTGTGCAATCTCACAGCACT